CTTCTGAGTATAGCTTTGACCATGTACTTTAAGTTTTTATATGTTATATTGATACAACTGTTTACTTTCTAAAATGTTATACTTGCATTTTGACTTCAATTTCTTCTTTGTCCTAAGAGTCATTTAGGAGAATGCTTTTCAGTTTTCAAGTGAGTTTTCTCCTTCCAATTTATCCTTTTGTTATACATTTCCAATTTTAGTGTGTTGTGATCCATGAGAGTGGCTCGTCACTTCTATATTTTACAAATTCAGTTTGTGTGTGTCTGTGTGTGTGTACCATCAATCTTTGTAAATTTCTGATGGAATTTGACAGGAATTTGTATTTTCTAATTATGAAATATAAAATTAAATATATAAACAAATTCTCATTGCCGTTGAGCTGATTCTGACTGACAGTGACCCCACAGGACAGAGTAGAACTGCCCCCATAGGGTTTCCAAGGCTGTAATCTTTACAGAAGCAGATTGTCACATTTTTCTCCTGAGAAACAGCTGGTGATTTGAACAACTGACCTTTGGTTAGCAGCCGAGCACTTAACAACTGTGCCACCAGGGCTCCTTATATGATCATTAAATCCACTTAATTATTTGTTAATCAATTCTAATGTTTATTTTTCCCTCTTTAACACCCTGTGAGACATATGCTAAACCTTCCCTTTATGATTACAATTTTGTCCATTTCTTCTTGTATTCCTAGTAGCTTTCACTTATCTATGTCAATGATATGTCATTTAATTTATTAGAAGCATTCACTGCAATTACATTTCCCTCTGTGGGTTTTTACTTTAATCAATGCCAAGTGACCCTTTATACTATGTTTTCTTCCTTAAATTCTACTTTGTGTGATATTAGTGTTGTCATCTCTATTCAAATTTTGCCCATTTTGTGTAAAATGTGTTCTTGTAAATAGCATATACTTCATATTTTCCAGAAACTCCTCAATGTTTCTAATCCAATACAGGTATGCTTCCCTGTTTTCCAGTGCTCCTATAAACTTTTTATTATTGTTCTACTTCTTCAATTCTTAAAGCTATAATCCCTACATTTGTTTTTATTTTGTAGATTTTATAATCTTAAACTGTACTTTGTGACTAAGAAACTGTAATTTCTTAATTTTATATTTTTTAATAATATTCTTCCAGTTATTATTGCCTCCACAGTCTTCTTTCCCAGCACTTATTATAACTAAGCATAAGTTAAAATTCTTTAACTGGGAATAAACTATATGCTTTTATTAATACAAGTGTATATGTACCATGGAAGACACTGCACTGTTTAATTATACTTGCATAAGAAAATTCCTAGCAAATATTTTATAAACAAATAGTACAGTTAATGACATTGCCAAGTGAGAAAATTTAATTTGAAAAATAAAATGAAGTAGAAGTCAAATTTAAACTTATTTTAGAATATTAATGCCTTGGTATCATATTGCAAAACATAGACAATCAGACTACCTTTCTAAGCATTCACCTTATTTAAAGGTCCACACCCGAGTAATTTGTAAAGAAAGTCAAAATAAATTAACAGAGTAAGATGAGATGATAGGGTATTTTGAATCAATCGATGATTCAAAAATTTATTGAAGGCCTACTCAGGAAATCTCTGTAGGCATGTAGGTCTTCTGCATCATGTGTCAGAGTAGAACTGTTCCATAGGGTTTTCAAGGCTGGAGCCTTTCAGAAGCAGATGACCAGGGTTTTCTTCCAAGGTGCCTCTGGGTGGGTTTGAACTGCCAACCTTTCTGTTAGCAGTCAAGTGTTTATTTAACTGCTTGCACTACCCAGGGACTTCCATTTTAGTGATGCAAAGGAAGTAAAATGGTATCTTTTAGAACATCAGAATAACATAGTTGTTTTGACCAGTTCAAATAGGCTAAAAGAACAATTCTGAATGTATAAGAAACTTACAAAATTCATTGTAGAAATAAAAAAAAAAAAAAAAAAGAATCTTACAGTGTAGATCCCCCATGCATCTGTCAGTTTGTCTGTGGGCGCTTGTATGTTGCTGTGATGCTGGAAGCTATGCCACTGGTATTCAAATACCAGCAGGGTCACCCAAGGTGGACAGGTTTCAGCTGAGCTTCCAGACTAAGACTAGGAAGAAGGATCAGGCAGTCTACTTCTGAAAAGAATTAGCCAGTGAAAACCTTATGAATAGCAGGAGAATATTATCTGATACAGTACCGAAGATGAGCCCCTCAGGTTGGAAGGCACTAAAAATATGACTGGGGAAGAGCTGCCTCCTCAAAGTAGAGTGGACCTTAATGACATGGATGGAGTCAAGAATGGGGCATCAGGCTTGGAGAAAGACTCATTAACAACCTGTGTTATGCAGATGACACAACCTTGCTTGCTGAAAGTGAAGAGGACTTGAAGCACTTACTAATGAAGATCAAAGACCACAGCCTTCAGTATGGATTACACTTCAACATAAAGAAAAGAAAAATCCTCACAACTGGACCAATAAGCAACATCATGATGTACATAGAAGAGATTAAGGTTGTCAAGGATTTCATTTTACTTGGATCCACAATCAACACCCATGGAAGCAGCAGTCAAGAAATCAAAAGACAAGTTGTACTGGGCAAATTGGCTGCAAAAGACTGCTTTAAAATGTTGAAAAGCAAAGATGTCACTTTGAGGACTAAGGTGCGCCTGACCAGGGTGTTTTCAATTGCCTCATATGCATGCGAAAGCTGGACAATGAATAAGGACGGCAGAAGAATTGACGCCTTTGAATTGTTGTGTTGGTGAAGAAAAATGAATATACTATGGACTGTCAAAAGAACAAACAAGTCTTTCTTGGAGAAATACAACCAGAATGCTCCTTAAAAGCAAGGATGGCAACACTACGTTTCATATAGTTTGGACATGTTACCAGGAGGGATCAGTCCCTGGAGAAGGACATCATTCTTGGTAAAGCAGAGGGTCAGCAAAAAAGAGGAAGACCCTCAAAGAGATGGACTGACACAGTGGCTGCAACAATGGGCTCAAGCACAGCAATAATTGTGAGCATGGTGCAGGACTGGGCAGTATTTCGTTCTGTTGTACACAGGGTCGCCATGAGTTAGAACAGACTCAATGGCACCTAACAACAACACCACATAGTGTAGATAAGACAGAATTAGGATAATAACCAGTTTAGAACATTCAGTAAGAAACACATACTTCTTCTCATTCTTCTCTGTCAAACAGTGTGTAGCACAGCACTATAATTTTTACCATATTTCTTCACTAATAAAGAGATGGAAATGTAAGTTATTTAAAGTGGAAATGTTCTCAAAACTTTTTTTTTTCCTTTCTTTTTTTAAAAATGGGAATAGGACTAATTTCTACAAAATCTTTCCTGAAATTAGTATGGAAAATAGGCATAAAACATTCCTGGTAAATCCAGTATGGAAAAAGCCATGTTTAGCCTAGAAAATAGGGAAAGTAATTGGTTAAAATAAATGCATGTTCAATAAGAAATATATTTCCTTAATAGTTTTGGAAGCAAAGTAGTGGAAGCACTGTGTTAGCCAGAGCACTAAGAAAACATCTGATATGAAACAATACCTCAGGGAATAAATTTAATGATACAACAGGCCTCGTACTGGTCTAATGTCTATAATTTCATCTAAATGTCAGTAATGGAAAAAAATGAGGGGGAAGGAAGATTACAAAAAACACATGGGCCTGTCTGTCTTTCTGCATGTAACTGTATGGGGATTCTTTATTAGAATTACATAACAGTGGAATCTGGCCTGTAACACGTAAGAGAAATTATCTAAAACAATGACATTTTCCATGCTGCATTATTGGGGACATAAGTACAGCCCGGAATTTAAATTCTTAGCTTTGTCACACTTATAAAACAGTAGGGAACACTGGAAATTTTCTTCCTCATATTTGGAATTAAATTTAGGCCCCTCAAAAGTCCCCACTAAGGGAAACATTTCTTCTTTCTCTCTTTCTTCCTCTCTCCCTCCCTCCCTTCTTTCCTTCCTTTCTTCTTATTTATAGGAATTTTTTTGTCTCCAGAAACAACATTTGCTTACTTTTGGCTCCGTTGGCAAGTAGGGTTACACAAAATGTATGCCAAGAAAAGTCTGGAATTATTTCAATTGTTATTTTTTTTGCTTACTTGTCTGGAACAGTGATGGTTAGGATTATACAATGTGAATCTCTAACAGATCTGAAAGGTTACTTAGTTCAAGTCCCTCAGAGACCAAAACTCAGTAAAATAACAGTTGCCATCGAGTCAACTTTGACTCATGGCGACCCATGTGTCAGAGTAGAATTGTGCTCCAAAGGGTTTGCAATAGCTGATTTTTCAGAAGTAGATCGCCAGGCCTTTCTTGCGAAGCGCCTCTGGGTGGTCTCAAACTTCCAATCTTTAGGTTAGCAGCCAAGCGCATTAACCGTTTGCACTACCCAGGGACTCCAGAGAGGTGAGTCATGTGCCCATAATCGCTTAAATGCTTAAAGGAGGCATGGAGCAAGCAGGCGGCTGTGACTCCTATTTTCTTCCGGCTTCATCTAACTAGTTCTCATTTATCATATGCATAAAGCAATGAAGGAGGCCTGATGTGTAACTTCCTCCAGCCACTCCCATTCCCAGGACAGTGTAGTGTTCGAAATATTTACTGAATAAATGAATTCAAGCTAAACCACATGTTAAAAACAAACAGATTTCAGAAACCAGGAAATGAGGGTCTTAACCAATATACATGATCAATATGAAGTCTCTCATTTAGTCTACCAACTGTCAGCACAATGTCATTTTTAAATGACACATTCTAATAAAATGAGACTATAATAATTATATCATCTATTAACACATCAAAGTTAATAAGGTATCTAATAATGTCTGTTGGCATTTACAACATAAAATCACTTCAAAATTATTTTATCATTCTAATTTTTATCTTCTTTCATGCACTTTATTCTTTAAATTCACATAGGAATACATATTTTCTTTTACAAGTGAAGAGTACTTATGTTAATGGAAAGGCTTTACCTATCACTTTATTCTTTTTTCCATTTTTTATAGGTGTACAAAGCAAACTTCCAATGTGCTGCTGGTTTACATGTCCTATGTTTTCACTCTAAAAAAAACAAAACAGCAAAAAATTATGAAGTGATAAAATTGTCTCTTAGATGCCACATATTTGGCATCACTAATAGTCTCATCTTTTATTAACTGAAAAGAACACCACAGTGCAGAAAACGTACAGATTACAATGAAGTTCACATAAATGCAATATAAAGCAATCACTCTTTATTAAGAAATAATAAATATCCTGTATTTTGACTTTTTTTTTTCATTTTAAACTTTTCCAAGTAATTTACGGGAATATTAAGCAAAATATTTACTCAGTATCTACTATACTGGTACAGTAGGTATCTCAAATAACTATATATACTATGCTGGTATACTGCTATAGTAGATATCTCAAATAATTGGGCAAGAGGGGCAGAATACGAAAGCATTCCATTACCTAGGGCACTGTTGTTGTGTGCCATTGAGCCATTTCTAACTCATAGTGGATTACTGTACAGAGCAGAATTGCCTTATAGGGTAATAATCTAGGCTGTAATGTTTACAGGAGCAGGTGGCGAGGTATTTTCTCCTACAGAGCTGCTGGGTGGGTTCAAACTGCCAACCTTTCAGTTAGCAAATAAGTGCTTAACCACTGAGCAACCAGGGCTCCTACCTAGGACGCTACGTGTTACAAACTGTCCTGCTTTAATAATGACACTATTTCTATTGCCTATACTGCTGAAGTTCTAAAAAGGTGTCTTAGATATACACATAACAAGACCAAGGCAGCTGTCTCAATGTGTAATACTTTTCTGAAATTAGAGAAAATACTAGAATTCTAAGTTCTCAATATTTGTGAAACTGATCTTTGCTGCTTTGCTAATTCAGGGAAAACAGACACCTATTTTCCCACAGAGCCACTCCCTAAGGTAGATTACTAATTTACATAAACTTGAGTCATTTGAAACTTAATTTTTGAGGATAAACTCAAGAACTCTAACAATACTATTTAAGATATGTGGTTGACATTATGTAGGTAAACATTAAATTACTTCAATATTAGTATGTGATAGTTCATTAATAGGCTTAAAAAAAAAAAAAACTGATACAAGTACAGAAAAAAATACCTAAGTATGTATGTTGTTGTTGTTAGGTGCTGTCAAGTTGATTTTGAAACATAGCAACTCCACATGATAGAGTAAAACTACCCTATAGGGTTTTCTTGGCTATAATCTTTGTGGGAGCAGATCGCCAGGTCTTTCTCCTGTGGAGCTGCTGCGTGGGTCTGCACTGCCAACCCACCTAGCAGCAGAGCACTTAACCAAGGCTTCTTTTTAAGTATAGATGATTACCTGTTGTATTCCCTTTTCTGATCAGGGAAAGCACAGATCACTCTTAAACAATCAACTAGAGTCAATCCTTGAGTAGAAGAATAACTATAAGTACAGATCTGATGAGAAAACACCCTTCTGGCGTCAGTTCTAAGATTGGGTTACTTACTGTCCAGGGAAATCTTTTGTCCTTACTGACATCTGGGATATTAAGTGGTTCCATAGTATTCTTCACATACTGAGCGTACATGTAATTGATTTTGTTTGCATCCCGTTCCCTGTGGAAATAACAGAAAACATGAGCAAAACAGAGTTAAAGAAATGTGAGAGATAGACCAGTCTCAAATTTTAGGGAAGACGATATATTTTAATTGGAAAAATGCAGCTTTAACTGCTTGTTAATTATCACTTTGGTAATTACTACACTTACAATGTTTTAAGAAGAGAAAAGTTTACAATTTGTCCACAGTCTAAAGCAAGATGTCATAGTAATCTTATTACCATTCTTAATGGGCAAGTTGATTTTTGTGACATTTAATGTAAAGTTTTCATGGATCCCCTCCATGTCTTATTTTTTTCATCAGATTATAGAAAGATTAAGGTCTAGTGCTTGTTTTACTTCCTCAATTATTTATTTTATCTATCCATATCAGTGAAACCATCTTTAATACATTCTAAGACCAAAGAAAAATCATCAAGCAGGCTTAGAAGAATTTTATTAGTTCCTCTCTCTAACTGAATCTTTTTTCCTTTCTCTGTCTTGTTCTTGTCTCCTCTTTCTTAACATCATTCCCTTTATTCAATTTCCTCTCTGCACTCTTCTTTTTTATGCTTTCAGACCCTTTATAATACTTTCTAAAATTAAAAATTAATCTTCCTCATAATTTCTTGGAATTTATACTATTTTTTACCAGTTTTTATTCCCCCTCAGTCTCTTGCTTAACAGGTTGAACACAGACGACTAACCTGCTGTCAGAGGGAACAGTAATACAGTGACAGTCCTGGTGCTGGAGAGAACAGAATAGGACGTGATTTTTCTTCAGGAAACTTCTTATGTTTCCTGCTGATGGCAATGAATTCGGCAAAGAAGATCAGGTGACAGAATTTTACTCCAGGTGTAAGGATATGCCTATCTTAACTGTAATATCATTAACTGAAGAAATAGGAAAGCCTAATAGTGAGAGACATGTCAACATAAAATACAGGCCTAGGAAAATGTCCACTTGTTCTCAAAGTTCCAGTATTTTGCCTATCTTCTGTCTGTCTCACCCAACTGCCAAACTGCTCCTGGGGTCAGAGGTCTCAAATAGTGTTCTCAAGTGCTAGTGAGTCCACAAAGATTCCTGAAGTCTGTGGTCTTATTCCCGGTCGAGATATGTTAGTCTTCCCTTTCTCTGCTGTATATTTTAGTTTAAGTATAATTTGGTCAAATCATGTACTGACCAGATGTCCAGTATTATGTATAAGTGAAAAAAAAAAAAGAAAAGGAAATGACAGAATAGTAACATAGAAGTAAATGAACTCTATATTGAACATTTTCCAAGACTAGACTGATAATCTGTGAAGGCATGCAAATTATCATACAATTCAGACCTAATACAGTCATGTGGTTCCTATTTCATGTGTGTTATGTGGGTGGCATTCAAGAAAAGGTTATAAGTGTAGGTTTTAGGTTCACAAAACAATTTTTAAAACTAAAAAAAAAAAAATTAAATAGAAAAACCTAGGGAAAAGAAAATAAGACGCTAAATTAAAGACAAGAAAATGAAAAGGAGGCCACAAGGAGAAAGAAGTACATTGGAGAAGAAGCAAGATACCTTTGTCCATATCTCTTTAAAAATTATAATAATAACTATTATTATTATTATTATTATTATCATTATGTTAACAGTGGGAACCAGAAGTCTAAAATTGTTAAGCAGCTTGCCAAAGATCATAAAATCAGACTTACAGGAGTTGACATAGAGATGTAGGTAGAAGTAAATAATCCACTTTAAATAAAATTGTTTTTCATTTATAAAAAATAAAACTATTTATAAAAATAAGACAAATTATTTTTAAATCAATAGATATCTAATTTCTTTTTCAAACTACTAGAAATGTTAAGTTTTCCTGATGGGTATGTTAGTGAAAAATGAGTATGAGATTTACTAAAGTTACGTGATACCAAGTTTATTTTTTAAACTAAAAGAAATGCTGATAAATTCTTAGTTTCTGTACCCTAAATACATATTGAGTACCTACTCCATGAAAGGCACGTTTGGTACCACATGGGAGACAAACTTATTAGGCCAGTAGCTGTCATAAAGGAGCTTACAATCTAGTAGAGGGCTGTGACGTAGAAATGAATATAATTCATGACTGTCTTAGTGGCCTGTCCTGGGTGGCACAAATAGTTAAGGACTCGGATACTAACTGAAAGGGTGGAAGTTCAAGTTCACCCAGAGGTGCCCTGAAAGAAAGCCTTGGTGATCTACTTCTGGAAAAAAAAAAATCAACCATTTCAAACCCTATGGAGCACAGTTCTACCATGACACACATGGGTTTGCTATGAGTTGGAATCTTCTCAATGGTTAACTGGGTTTTGGTTTTTACTGTTTGGATAGAGTCGAGAGCAGAGGCTGCCGGCTGTCCCTCAATGGATCTTCTCCCCTTCTCCTTAACTGGACACATGGCCACCAAGAGGAAAGACTACCTTTCTCAGCCACCCTAGTAGCTTGGTATAGCCATGTGACTAAGTTCTGTGCAATAAATGTAAGAAGAAATGGGCGCAATTTCTAGAGGCCTTCCCTAAGAGACAGCTGATGTGTGCTACAAGCAAAATCAAAATACCAACACAAAACATAATTGCACAGACATATGCTATACAAAGATTCTAAGGTAAATGTAGATAATTCATCATTTCATACTTTTAATATGCATTATTATACTGATATTACCCATCCTACTGTTTGAAACAGGGGTATGATAGCTGGAGCTGTGTCCCTCATCCTGAGAAGGGCCACATCCCAGAGAAGCAGACTAGAAAGCCCAGAGGCGCCTGGGTCCCTGAGGCCTTTGTGGAGCAGACTGGCACCAACCCTGGGCTGCCTACCTCTGGACTTTTACAGGAGAGAGAAATATACTGCATTCTTGTCAATGCTATTATTATTTTGTGTTTTCAGGACTTACTTAAGTGAAACTTAATCTTCTTAACTAATGCAGATGTTACAAATGCAAGCAACATGTACGTGGAGAAGATGAACAGGTAACACCTAAGTGGAGTGGATTAGGGCAGAGGTGGCATTAGAGAAATGCATTAAAGGCTGGGTACGATTTAAGGAAGTGGAGAAAGACATCAGGATTGAAAGGAGGGTATTCCAGGCAGAAAAACAGTATAAAATACATTGCCGAAATGGAAGAGTTCTATGTGTATTTTGGAAACACTAAATAGTTACAGATTATCAGGCATAAAGAGATAGTTTCAGACTGAAAATGTTAGGCCAGCACAGATAGTGGAAGATTTTGAAAGTACAATGGAAGGAACCTGGATCTCACACACAACAGGGACACTGTGGCAGCCTTGAGAGCGTGCCTCTCGGAGCTCCAGCTACAGGACGCATAATCAACCAGTGTCTCCAGTTGCTGTGCTCAGAAATCCATCAGCACGTCAGTACCAAGGCCAGGCCTCAAATGGCTTCGCCAAGACCAAGACTGCGCACAGCAGGGACACTGAGGTAGGCCGTTCCTAGGAAACCAGGATTGTCTGACAGCAGACTAGAGGCTAGAGGACTCCCCAACAGTCTTGCCAAACGTTCCTTATAACAGCCCAGCCAATTAAGATGCTTCCATACAACCCACCTTCCTTCCTTCCCTCTCTCCTTCACCTCTGGGGCCGACTTTGTAGAGGTTTGCTGGCTCTCCTAGCCTCCCCTGGCTCCTTCCCTTTTTGCTCCCACAGGGTGTTTCCTGGATAAATTTCTTGTACATTTAATTCAGTCTTGGCATGTGCTTCTTGAAGGACCCAGACTAACTCACACATCTAAGGCTTTTTGCACAGTGGCTATCAATGGCGTTGTATATGAGCGTATCCTTGGAAAGAGACAGGGGTATGGAGCTTAGAAAAGCTGAGAAGTTTCTGTGCTTTAGAATTAAATGGAAATCATTGCAGGCTATGAAAACCAAAGACAGAAAACCAAAACACATTCAAAACACAGAATTAAATCTAAACATTTACCAAGCACTTAGGTGCCAAAAATTTCTGAAGCATTTTATATACATTATCTCCTTTAGCCCTAACTACAATTCTACTATCATTATCCCCATTTCACAGATGAGAAAACTGAGGCTTTGAGAGGTTAAATACTTTACACAAAGTCCTATAGATAGTAAATGGTGGAATGTAGATTTAAGTACAATCAGTCTGATTCAAGAGTCTACACTCTTCTACTCTGGATCTACAAATGTTTTAAATTAGGTATTACTTTTAACTATAATTGTATCCTAATATTATAATCAATAACAAGTATTAACTAGTATATGTATTGTAAGAAAGTCAACTTAAAGGACTAATTTTGTCATTTTATGATAAAAATGTACATATGATAAAATGTACATATAATGATAAAATGTACATATAATAATAAAAATGCACATAAAACTCATTCATATGGAATTACCACTAACTGTACAACATCTTACTCATTTTTTCCCTTCTAGTTGGATGACTTTTTGAATTGAAGCAGAGACTCTAAAACCTACCCTCCAAGAAAATACCAAACTCGTTGCCATCAAGTTGATTCCTACTCATAGCGACCCTACAGGACAGAGCAGACTTGCCCCATAGGGTTTCCAAGGCTACGATCTTTATGGAAACAGACCGGCAGTGGGATTAGCAGCATTCGGTTTAGCAGCCAAGTGCCTAACCACTGTGCCACCAGGGAAACCTTCCGCCATCTGGAAATGAGCCTCCCTTCCAAATTTCTTGGGCAACCCGATTCCCAAGAACGTACTGCACTTTATCCTACTTATAATAATAATATCATTCGATAATTATGTAGAATGTTCACCTTGAATATTGTTTTAGTTATACACTTAAAATTTCAAAGCTCTCTTCAATATAGTCTCTTAATTTACAAAAGATATTTAGTGTGTTGGTGAGCCATGCTTTTCAACCGGTAAGTAACTGCCTAAAAAGAACGATTTGCTTACTGCTAACAGCATCAAACTGTCAGCATTTTATCTCATGGAAAAGTGTTTAGATTGGCAAAGCATTCAATACTGAGAATTGGGAGTCCTAAATTCTATCAATAAGCAATTTGAAAAATGTAATAAAGAATCTGCCAGTGAAAAATAAGGATCAGTATCAGTTTAGTCCCTTTTCAAAATGTTGAGGTTACTAAACATCATCCTAAGCCAGAGTTTTTGCAAAGTTAAGTGTGATATCCAACTGTTATTAAAATAAAAACATATGTGACTTAGAGGTCTTTTAATGTATTATTAAAATAAAGGCTAACATTAAAATGTTTATCTGACATAAGCCATCGGTGTGAATGATTTTAATTACTGTAAAGTCAGGTAATAAATCAGTTAAAATGATCCATGTAAATTAGTCTCTTTTAAGGTAATCACACTAACCTATTTATGCTTTATAAAAAATATGTTTATACTAATATACTAAGACAGTCTTGGAATGATTAAAAAAAAGGAACAATAACTTTCATTTTGCCTATAAAGAGGAAATGAGGCATTCATCAGAAACAAATCAAATATGTAGCAAGACTTTGCTTTTGTTTTTTTTTTTTTTAAATTCATATTCACCAGAAGAGGTCACTATTATACTAAGCCACTGTGTTTGTTCAGCTAGGACTAGAAATTAGACAACCTGGCTGAATTTGTAATAAAAAATCAAAATGCCAATACACAAATCACAATTATACAGACATATGCTGCACAAATAATCTAAGGTTAATATAGACATTCATCATTTTATACTCTTAATATGCACTATCATAATGATTTTCCTATTGTCCTATGAATAGATATATATATATACTTATGCATATGACTTATATATGTATTTATGCTTATAAACTTAACTTTATAATTATATATAACTAAATTTATATTTATATAGTAACTCATTATTTATGCAAGCAATTAAAAGTAAAATAATCAAGTATTT